GGGGAAACGTCACACCACCGAGGAACGGGAGGAAAAGAAAGGAGGGGGGGCAGGGTAGAAGGTGCAGAGGAAAAAAGAAAAGTCATTTTTTTTCTTTTCAGTCTAAATTGATTTTATTCTACAAAACGCTACTCAATTAAAATCGTAAAAGCAAAACCATTTTAATATGTTCTTTCTTTCATAGCAGCAAGCTTTCTCTAATAAGCTTTTTGTTTTAGTGCAAATACTGTAGGCCTGTAATTCAGTAAAATAACAAGAAGAGAGGAGAGACAACACCAGAGAGAATGCCTCAGAGCTGAGATTCTCCAGGACTGCAAGAACAATATCAAGATCACGACGAGCAAAGAAGGGTCCCAATTCACCTTTAAGAACCTCCTTGGCAGAAACTATGTCGTCACAGAAAAAAAAAAAAGAAAAAAAAAAGAAAAATCATTATTAAAATTTTAGAGGAAAAAAACCCCAAACAATGGTGCCCCCAGACCTTCAGTAATCCTCACGGTTACCTATTAATCACTGAGGCTTGATTCCACCTCTGACACCTGCTTTGCAGCAGCAAAATGCCACTGATGCTTTCAGTGTGCCCCCAGGAGAGGGGAATCCAAAATGGGCCCTTTCGGTATCTGAGGATCTTAAAGTAGACTTTAGTGACACTAGTAACTTATCGCTCTAATAAAGATGCACTATCCCTTATCGATGTTACTTTGAACTACACAGTATATCAAGATATATACAACAGTTTATCCTCTCACTGAGCAAAAACAATTGGATACCTATTTTCTACACATTTTAATATGGTTTTAATATCAAGTAACCACAAACAAGGAAGTGGAATAACCCTTTAATCATACAGGATAGGAGGGGAACAATTAAGTAAAACAGGAGGGGATTTTATTATTATCTTGTATTCTGAGATTTGTCCTCAACTCCACCTACTGTTCACAGAGGAATGATAATGCATCTTTAGAAACATATCTCTTTTTACATTTTATACAGACAACAACAAAACCCAGAATCTTTTATTTAAAGAATAAAAAAAAGCCTAAAAAAAAGAAGATTGGAGTATTTTTAATGCTTTCTTTATTATATCCAAGTCTTGAACAGAAAAAAAAAGATGTAAACATGATAAATAAATAAGAAATAAAATGTAGATTGTTCCCCCCACCTCTTAAAATGTTTGACTTGGCCTTCCCAATGAAAATGAACTTCTAAGTGTCACCATAATAAGATTTCCTACATTTCAGAAGGCTGTTTTAGAATGGAAAAAAAAAAAAAAGAAGCAACAACCAAACACCAGAAATGTGAGTTGGGAGGACGTTAAATTAATGGCGGGCAGATCTGCTGGAGCAGGCACAAGACGGCTGCCTGCCAATAAATAATAAGATAGCAGGGAAGAAGGGGGCGTCTTAGGTTTGTTTTCATTTTGTTTTTTCTTTTCATTTAGGATGAAGGCCAGGTGGATCCTACATACAGTAAGCAGCAAAATTAAAAGGTTCAGATGAACTAAATAGATCATTTAAATAATAATTATAAAAACACAACAGAGAGCTTCTGTCCCCAGTGTGTTGGTCCCAAATCCCATCACACCACAAGCAGTTTGAGACTTACCCAGTCTCCACACCTACGAGAAAGGAATGGATGAAGGCAATGCCACAACTGGGAAGGGGAAAGGAGGAACAAGGGCAAAACTGGAATGGCGAACATGGAAGCCGAAAGTTTCCTTCGACGCAGCTGCTACTGCTCCTCCTAGTTTGGCACTGATTAATTTAAGATGTTGTGAGTGTCTTTGCTGGGCCCGTCACTAAGGGGTTGACCCAATACCAGCTGAAATTCCTTGAGCCTTTTTCCATTGACTTCAACAACTCTTGGTCAGACACAAGTTATAACAGCTCCTGCATCCCCGTTACATGCAGAACACAGATTTAGGAATTGGCAGTGAAGGTACCCATGGAAAACACTGTTTTGGGGATGGGGAAGACAATCAACTCCCAAAAAGCGCACCAGCAAACCTGAAAAGAACGCAGGGCCAGACCAAACGAGCAGCAGAGCTCAAGCTGTACCTGTCTACCAGGAACTAAAGAAAGATCAGGCTGATCCACAAAATACAGAGGGCAGGAGACCAGCAATCCCAACACAGACATCCTCTGAGAGGTCTGAGGGACAAAACAGGCAGGCACAAAGTATTCGGGGCTTTTCCAGATAGTAGAAAATACTCCTCTTTTCTAAGCAGTTTCACACAGCTCCCATCAGTCTCACCGGACAGGAAAGGGGACCGTCCTGCCTGGTCTCTGAGGTCAATGACAAGGCAGCAGGCAGTGGGCAAGGGCCAGCTGCAGCTCCTGTTGGCAATAAGCAATGATTCAGTGAGCAAAAGTAAAGGTAGATTTTGTTGTTCTACTAGGAGTTAGGCTTACTCCGGCTTGAGGAGGCACGTGACTTCCTAAAACGCGTAGTAGGAATGCTCTTCATCTCTGGGGAGACAGCGATCCTGGTCAGCTGGCCTCAAAAGTAGCTGCATCACTTTAGGATTCACTATTTGTCCATGTTGCATTCTGCTCAGAAATGGGTGGAAATGACATGCAAAGGTATTTTACTGAACAGTTTTAGATGCTCAATCCAGACCGGCCCAAATAAGCATCCGGCAAAACAGAGACAGTTAGAGAAGCAGCAGTTTCACCTGAAGTGATACCATCTACATAAAGCCCTATGAAAACAGGATCCTTTGTGCTGACTACAGGAAGTTTAAGGTCTACTTTATTAAAAAGGAAGTTTTGATGTTCATGTAAGGACAAGAGATCTCCTTTATCAATTTCCCTTATTGTGTAAGCTCAGTTTGAAACCTCTAGCACTGGTAGACCAATGTTTAAGTAATGGAGAAAAAGCCTGAATCACAATCAGATTTATGAAGAAAACAGATCAGTCATATCTTCCTATTTCTATTGGGTTTGGTAAATACCTGGGTTTAAAAATAACAGGAATAGCAAAAAAAGGAAAGCCTACCTTTAGAGCCAAAGTAGTGTCCCTTTGAAATGATTCAAGGAATGGGCAGTGGCCAGGGTTTGAGGGAAGCCAGCCCTGCTGAGTAAAGGTCAGGTTCCACAAGACCGAACCCTATTAATTCCCAGTGGGTTCTGCAGCAGTTTAGCATCTCACAGGACTAGCCCTGTAATTGCAAATTGAATTTCTCCAGGTCCAGCCTGACCAAGAAATACCCTGGTTTCAGTTGATTAAAAAAAAAAAAAAAAAAAATAAAAGAACAAGAAAATCTCACACCAAAATAAATAGCTGCCACCACAGTTTCAACAGGCAGGACCAAAGACCTATCCCCGAAGCGGCTTAACCGGAAAGCTGGGCAATCCTAGTGTGCAGATGGTCATGGTTTCTTGGTGCCTTACACCAACAGGAGTTGAGCTTGGCTCCAAGTGAGAATAGGTTACACACATTACTGTTTTCAGTAGTGAACATCAGCGCTGGAGAGCTTGTGCCCTCTGTGAGCACTTCGTAGTAGCAGTCAGGACCACAGGTTGGAGAGGACAAGGACCCAGAGCTAGGGGAAGAGCCCTCTGATGTGTTTTTTGTCTTCAGGCCAATCAACCCCAACAAAACCAGATCAATTACAATGCCAAAAAAAAAAAAAAATAGAGAGGCCAAAGACTGAGGTGCAAATAATGGTAATTGATTTTCCTCCGCTCTCAGTTTGTCATTCATAAATCCAGAGGATATCAGAAGCTGTGTTCTAGTTCAAACAGGTTATCACTTCAACCATGCCGATCCTGCCTGGTCAGGAGCGCCTCATGGCCTGCGCCGTGCTGGAGGTTGGACCGCTGCTTTCCCCCCTGCCTCGGAAACTGGGAATTTCTGAGCAAACAACACCCACTAGTACCGCCCAGTGGATGCGCGCTGCTTTGTTTCCCAACAATGAAAAATTCAGCAAGGGTACACCCAACTAGTTTCACCCTCTTACCCGCTCCCAGTCTCCATCCTAGATTTATAGGCACGTGGTGCCACCTCTTTTTCGGTAGCATGTTCTGCAAATGTGGCCGAGGGGAGGGGAAGATTTACTAACAGGAAGAGATCAGCCTCTGAGTCAGAAGCCCTGATGGGGAGGAAGATACAATACTCCCTAGACAGCAGGCAGCCCAGGAAAAGTAAACAACAAGCAGCAGATTTGATATCCACCAAATTGGGGTAAAACCCTGCCAAAGACACTGGTAAGTGCCAGCCCAGCAGCTTTTCTGATGCTACTTTGGCCCTGAGATGCTAACTTGTTTTTTGAGGAGCCCAAGGCGACAAATTTATACACCTTTTCAAAAAGAAAGGCTTCCGCATGAGCCTCCTGCTGTCTCTGTGCCCCAGGCCAGAGTTACAAGCTCTGCCCTTGCTGCTGAGCCCTTGGGCTCCTCTTGGTCCCCCTTCTCCCAGACCTCCCAGCCATCCCCCTCCCGCCTGGGCAACCCGTGTTTCCCACAGCCTGTCCCAAGGGAAAAGATCCTAACAAGCCTTTAGAGTTCAGAGCAACTGGATGAAATGTCATGGGATCGGCAACATTGGAAATGATAAGCGCAGAGAGAGAGAGAGAAAGAGAGAAGTTGTAAGATCAACTAACCAGAAGGATCTAAGCACAGAGCACAACCGATCAGATCAATTCACAAAGGAAGGGGACAACTAGCAACCGTCTGCAGCTCGCCTTCAGTCCCAGCCAGGAGTTCTCCCCAAGTCCGCTACGGCCGTGAAGAGGTTTCCATAGGCAGTCCCTACAGAGGGGACGTCACCCTCTCCAAACAGTCCTGGCACATCAGTCCCACCCTTGTCGTTTCCTGCCTCCAGGGAGCTGGCGTTGGTCCTCACTCTCCTTCCGGGAGCTGCAGCACTTCCCCGTCCTTGTTCTTGCTGCCCTTGTGCTTGAACGATCCTGTGCCTGTCTCTAATCCCATGGAGGGGGGCTCCCCCCATGGTGCCGGGGGGGATGTAATACACTGGCAAACTGGGGGATCGCAGGAGGATTACAATGCCAGCAAGGTGGGAGAGTTCAAGGAATCCGAGGACTGGTCGCCGCTGCTGCTGCTCCTCCGGTGAGCTTTGGAGCAGGACTCGGATGGGGAGAGAGGAGACTCCTGATCCAATACATTGGGGTAGGTGAAGACCAAGTTGGAGGAGCCAGGAGTGATGGCTGGTGTTGAGGTCACCACGATGGGAGTGTTGAGTGCCTCCTCCCCGTAAAAACCTCCAGCAATGCTGATGGGCTTAATGACAGACCTCTGGGCTTTGTCAAGGACCAAAGAGGAAGATGGGATCTCTTCCTCCACGGGCTCCTGCTTCACCACCACCGCTCCGCTTGCTCCAGTCCGAACGCTCTGGAGGCTGCTGGATGGTGGACTCCGACGTTCCTCAGGGCTGATTTTGCACACGGGGCTGTGAGCCACCAGCATAAACTCCAGCTTCTCCTTCTCCTTCTGGAGCTCAGCGATCTCCTTTTGCAGCACCGACTTCTCCTCCTCCAGCACTTCAGTCTCCTGCAGATAGAAAGGGAATAAGTAAATACCAGAGGCTCTGGAACTGCTCCTCACCTGGAACATGGCCATCAAGGCCAGTTCCCACCTGGAATGGGCAGACACACCCCAGGGTCTTCATGAGCCAAGCAGGAACCAGGTCACTGCCAGCTGAGCATCTTGTGTTTCATGTGTCTACCAGCAGGCTATTCCCAAACTTCAGCAATCGAAGGGTTATTACGAGTCTTCTCATAAGCTTGCCTTAATTTTCTCACAGTCAGCTTCTACCATGCAGTCTTGGCCTGTGACTTCACTCTTCTCCCTTGCTGTCTGCCTGACAGATACCTTAGCAGAGAGGACTCAGACCTCCTCCTATCATTTTTTGTGTTAGGTAAGTCATATCCTTTTCACAAAGGTAGCGTACAGCAATCTCTAAAGCGTTACCATTTTCTTTCTGGAGTGCATATTCCAGATTAGATTTGACACTTGCCCAACTCTTCCACAAAGGACTAACACTTTCATCTTCACTGGATCATCCCTTGATGCATTCTTGGATTAATACTTTTACCTTTCCCATGGTCACATCACACTGATGGCTCATAGTCAATCTGTGAGCAATTAGTACTTCCCATCTCCCAAAGAACTCTTCATCAGTCCTTCAGGATAGGACTTCCCACTTTGGGCTCCTCTCACTTCTATTACTTTATAGGATGTTCTGCCTACCCCCCACTGAGAACGCCTCTTTATTTTGAGTCAGCAGCACATTTCACCCGTGTACTTTCACTGCTGCTGCCGTACTTGTTAAGACCATCATCGAATCACACCAGGCTGGTTCTCGAGCAGGAGCGCTGCAGCCTTCCAACATCACCCATCCTTGCCTCCTCTTCAACCCGTCCCTTAACCACTCCACAGTCCTAGTGCTCATCCCCACCTTCTCCAGCTTAACTAGCTATTTCCCCGGGGGGCACCAGACCACACGTCTCCACGGTGCTTTCTTGTGCAGGAAATCAGTTATCCTGCCCAAGGAAAGGTTAGCCTAAAGGATGTAGCTGTGATAGGTACCCCTGACATCTGCCTCATTTTCTACAGCTTTCAGAGGATCCCACTATCTTCAGTACGGCGCAGCCCTTAAAGCCTGCCTTTGAGGCTCCCCGCATCTTACGTTTCCACTTACGGAGGGAGACTCGTGCTAGTTGGAAGGCTAGAAGGGAAGAGAGCTCCTAGGACATTTTTGGCAGTGAGCAAGGGGAGTTTAGGCTCCTGACCTCCAGGCCCGAGCCCCTGACCACCACTGATGTAGGAGAAACACCACTGGGCAGCCTTGGAAGGGGAAGGCAGTGTGTGTTTTGTAGCATCTTCCTCAAACAGGCTAACAGAAAGAGAGCAACACACCGTGACCTGGTCCACAGGGCAGGCGACAAGGGAGGAGAAACGTATGCAGAGCACATACCGCCTGGAGTTTCTCTGTTAGCTCTCGACGCCTGTTACGACACTTCGCAGCTGCCAGCTTGTTCCTCTCTCTCCGGATCCTTCGCTTCTCTTCTTCCTCGGGCGACAGCTGTGGGCAAGTGCCAAGAAAACCCACAATCAGATCTGAGCAAGGCATTCCTTGAAGTTTGCGAGGATTTAACCGCAACGCAAAGGAAAAAAGGCCTGATCCAGCAGGATGCTGAGCACTCGCCTTCTTCACCGAAGTCAGCAGAAGATGAAAGCGCACAGTATCTCTGCCTGCACCGGATCTTAGCAGAAGGGTGAGAAGACGGAGCAGGGGCAAGATTGTGTAAGAGGACAGTGAATCTGCACCAAGGCCAAACAGATAAAAGATGCTGTGATTGTTTCACAACTTGGGTGGTACATTAAGCAAAACCAGAGCACGATGTTGTAAGTGCCTCTTTCTTGAAAGAAAATATCTGCTGCTTCCCACACAAAAATAGTTGTTAGCTTGAAGGTCGGGGATGAGGTGGAAGGGGAGACGGGGAAATCAGCAGAGCTCCCATGAAGTCCGTGAAGCAACAATGATTTATACCACCCAAAAACCTGACCTCAGATTTTCGAGCACTGAGCGAGATAACGCACTGTGCGTCTTGCATCAGCAGGCAAGGCTCCAGTGATATCAAGGGCTTCCTGAGGCCAGCTGACATCCTCACTGATGTAAGTCAGGAGCAATTCCACAGAAACCCATCGAGCGACACTTGCGAAACCAGAGGAAGTGAGCAGGAGCCCGCAAGATCTGGTCAAGTCAGGCCTAGCTTTTGGGGTTTGGGACAAGGTTTTACAAATCCCGGCAGCGGCAGATAGGCTTGCACCACTGCTGAGGCCAGGAAGCCAGGACGGCAGGGTATGAGAGGACCATCGTGGCCCAGCTCGATCCTGTGGCACACAGTGTGTGGGATCCGATGCAAACGGATGGCCACGCGGACTCGGGGCGCGCGTTTGGCCGCGCGTCCTCTTCTGCTGCGGACCAGCCTCAGCCCTGCATCCCAGCTCCATCGCGTCGGTGTGCTGCCAGGGGCTTTGGCCCGGTGAACGCAAACGAAAGTGAAACAAGCACCCTGCGAAGCACATGTTGGATCTCACATAGTGCCAGCAGAGAGTGGAGAGAAAAACCCTTTTGTAAAAGCTTTCAGTTTTAATATCTTCAGGGACTGTTAAAATCACAAGAGAGACATTCACCATTTTACTACCTTTTCTTTTTAGTGTTAGTTTTACTCTAACCTCATTCTGGTTTGTTTTGGTTTGCTTTACTTCCTTAATTTCGATTTTCACAGTTTCGGGGAGTTTACTTCAGCCTCTGGGCATTCCCCTCGCTCAGTTCTGCTTTCTTTTGGGACCCAGTACGCGCCTGTGATTTCACCTGCATGCCGTGCGAGCCCCCAGGCACGCACCAAGCGACACAAGCACTTACAGGACTTCAGGATGCAGGTTTTGGGCCCGAAAGCTTTTTCATCAGCAGATCACAGCACTCCATCTCGGGGTTGGGGGGGGCTACCTCCATCCCGCATCCCAGTGGGGCTTTGGCATATTCCCGCAGGAAGAAGCTCCTGCAGGCACCGCTCTCCCCGCTACAGCTCTGCCTGCTCTTCCCAGACGGCATGTGTACAGGGTAAAAGCGTATTGGCATGCAAGTGTCTGCAGCACAGCAAAGTGTTAAGCATGCACAGGGAGTCTGTGCTGACTTGGGGCCTTGGCACACAGTCTGCAAGAGCCCTTTCACGCTTTAGAAGCGCAGGCCTCACTGAAAAGTGTTGGGACTGAAAAAACCTCCTTCCAAGGCCTTCAGTCATTTTTAAGCTACCCATCTTGGAGGCAACACTTTGCAAATGCTGAAGGGGCTGAAGCCCCTAACCTGGACTGGATGTGTTTAACATTATACCGGGTCCGAAAAGGAATATTCTGCCAGCGGATGCAGGATTTGTTTGAAAGCGGTTAGATTTGGCACTCTTCGTGCCCCTGCGGTACGTGTTATCTGTAGCTTGTCCAAGCCCAATACGTGCGTTCCCTGGCAGAAACGTTCATCAAAACAGGCGCTTTTCATAAAGCGTTACACAGAGTTTTCCAAAAAGGCACTCCGATGTGGTGTTCAGAGCACCAGCAGCCGAAACCTGAGCCAAAGAGCCACAGTAGAATGCCCGGGTGCTGCCTTAGCACGTGTCTAATCAAAAGGACTTGGCTTTGAATGACCCACAATGAACGGCTTGCAAACAAGCCACAGGCCAGGAATTGCTTGGCAGGCATCCTTCAGCAAATAACTCCGAACAACAAATAAGTAGAGAATATGGTGATCTCTTCACGGCCAATTTGTGAACACAGAGGCAGCATTTGTCAAACAAATTAGTTGTTGCTAATTATTCCCCCAGTTCTCGTGAGAGCTTCCCTGGCTTTGGACACCAGCCCTGCACAAAGGGAACCGGGAGGTAGCTCCAGCTGGTGGAAAAGGGCTGGCACATACCCGAACCACCACGGCTGCCCCATCTTTCCTCCCAAAAACAGGTCCTCAGTGCACCCATACTGGCTCCCTGCACAGAGTTGCAGCTCACTCTGAACAAGTGACTTTAACCCCTTCCCTGCCTCTTTGGTCTAAATCAGACAGCGACTCCACATAAAATAATCAGACTGTGAATCAAAACAGATGACGTGGAAGTAAAAGTAGGGCTGGTGAGGCTTATTAGAAACAGACCACATGCAATAGCCTGTGCTTATGTACCGAGGGTGCGCAGCGTGACTTGTTACACTGCTCCGCGGCGACCCACACAACTGCTGCTTGGGAACAATTCGGGGAGATCTAGGTTATATTCACTTTCTTTTAAAAAAAGAAATCAGCCTAGCACTGTGGATAGCTATTCTCCAGACAGCCCTGGACAAGGCTGTTTCTTACTGAGAAGAGATTCACAGGACTGACACGATTTCTAAAATACGAGACACCTGCATCTAAGTCCACGCCAGCACAGGATCCAGGGTTAGGGTTCCATAATCCCATCAGGAGGCTGAGCACGGGGCAGCGGTGGCACAAGCCACCCCATACTGGCCATGAAAATACCACTGGCTTGTGATCAGGATAATCTCTGCTTAGGATCCCCAACTCACGGCTGTAAAGCAACCAAGCAATTGCACATTTGTAGTGGGAAGATGGATGTAGACCCCAGACATCCAGAAGGCTCCAGCTACCAGAGTCAAGGTGCTCTAGGGAACCTGTTCCAAGCTCCCTGCACACAGCTGGTATCACCCAGAGGTGGCCACAGAGCAGATGTAAAACACCAGCTGAGGTGATTTGGGTGCCAGTTTCGTACAGGACATGTGTAAAAGCTCCTCTGCTTGCTCAGGGGTTTCTGTCTGCCTGGAGTGGTGAAGACACTCAAACTGAAACCCAAGGTTCGACTTCAGAGTTTCACCTGCTTTTGAAACTGAGCTGCAATGCAGCCCAGTAGCATGAAGCGTTTGATGAAGATTGGGCAAGACCGCTGTACGATGAGGAAGCAGCAATTTAAAAAAAAAAAAATCACCCTCCGGCTTACACCATACGTCACCCTGAGAAACCTCAGCACCTGTACAGCATAGGGGACGGACCTCAGCACTCCCCCCTGGGGTCAGAAACACTGCGAGAGAGCAGGGGATAACGTCGGCACGCTTGTTTGAGGCATCCCCAGCCTCTCTCCCCACGGGAGTTACCTGCTCGTCTCGTCGCCTCCGGCCCACTGTGGTTCCAATGGTTTTGATGACACCAGGTCGCTGAAGGGCCGTGTGTCCGGCTACCGAAGACAGCGGGGGCAGCGGGTGGCTGTAGGGGTGCGAGCGAGAGTAAGGGCTTGACATGGAGGTGATGACGGTGGGCTGGACCATCCACTGCAGGTCTTGGCTGGTTGTGATGGCGTTGATCGTAGGGATAAAAGCACTGCCTGATCCTGGCATATCTACTCGAAATTTCTAGGAGGAAAGGCAGGGAAGGAAAGAGAGAGAGAAGAGGAGGAACCATCAGTGAAAGCAGAACATAAGTGGTTACTCAGAGACCAGTTAGGCCCTCAGGAGCAGCACCAGTGAGGATCAAAGCAACACCTAAAGCCAAGGCACCGGCCGCCAGTGCCTGTGCCACACCCCAGGCTGCCCCTGCCCACTGCGGCCCCCTCGAGGGAGGCACTGGGCTCAGGCGCTTCCCCTCCAGAGCAGCCCTTCCCTCTCCCAGCCCCCTTCCTCACCCCCTCCGCAACACCTCCTCAGCATCCCCTGCGCCAGCCTCCCTTCCCGGACAGCTTCCCCACTGCCTCCCGCCTGTGCCCACTGCTCCTTCCGGAGTGGAGCAAAAGGGGAATTAAGGAGTTTCTAGAAAAACACTTCTCCATCAGTCCAAAAAGAAAAGGAAGAGAAACTTCAGTTCTGAAATGCTGTTACCAAGCAGGGCAAAACCTCCTTCTACCAAAGGATTCCCCTGAAATTTGGGCTCGGTCCATGTAGACTTTGGTACGGCGAGAAGAGCAGCTTGCTTCTCGTTCCGTGGTTCTGCCCTCGCCGCACACACAGGGCGAGCAATCCGGCCCCGGGACGGTTACGTGCAAGGATATGTATTTTAATAGCAGCCTATAAAATAGGTCTTAGGATTTAGATCGGACAAGTTCCCTGCAGCTCTCTGCACTGTCTAGACAAAACAAGGCAGCAGTAAAAACCAAGGCAGCAGGTAATGATCTCCTCCAAAATACTTGTACACCTTATTTCAGACAGAGGTAAATCCATCTGGATAATATGCTGGCACTAAACTGCAAAGAAAACAATCGCTTGTCCCCGGAGGGGGAAGCAGGGGAGAGGAATGCTTTTGTCTACAGAGAGCTCCTTCTGGAGGCTGTCAATGGTTAGACTTGGTTTTACAGGCAGACGTGCCTTGCTCCAGCAATCTCTGTGCAAGGGACAGGGCTTGTAGGACCTGCGGCCGTCGCTACCACCGATTTGTAAGCCCTGAAGTGATGCCATGAAAAATGCGCGTCCTTGGGTCAACAACCGAGCTTCCCAGAGGAGCGAGAGCCCTTGCATCAGCCTGACCTCAGCTCAGGTAAGCGTCCCAGATAAGGGACAGCACTTCAACACAGATCTCCCATTCAGGGTGTGCCTACTCAAGCACCCTAAGTGCTTTGTTAAACCAAGGCGACTGCAAACAGTATTTCACGTTCCAATAGCTGCAGGATTTCGGGCCAGTATTAGCCATTAGAAGTCCAGCTGCCAACACCTGGAGACCAGAAGATCCAGTTCGAATAGCGACCAGTGCTGACTTACAGCTTTGGACAGCTCAAAAGCTAGTAAGAAAGGACAAGAGAGGGAAGGAGTGAATCAAGTTAAGCAGGTGGGGGAAGTACACAGGCAGGATGACACTGGCACCGAGACCTTGGCAAAAGCCCCGTCAGAACCTCAGAGATTCACCTGGGGCTCGAGACCCACACAGCCACAGCATACCCTACATCTCACTGGGCGACCTCTCCTGATGAACTAACTACCGAGGCCCTAAGCTGCAAACCGTCAACACCACCGAGGAATTTACAGGCGCAAATCCCCTTCCTCACTCTGCCCAGCACCGGCTGTGACCACGGGCCAGGAGAGGACAGATGCCTTGGTGCCTCCACAACCATTACACCGTAACAAAGGGATCTTAACCTCACAGAAGGGGGGAAGGTCAAGACTAGTTAAACCACAGGTGCCCAGGGAATGCAAGTTCTGCTTCCAGCTCCAAAAGTGGCTTCTACCATGACCTTTACACCTCCCTGTACCACCATCCCTCCTGTACCCGAAAAGCGGAGAAAAGAGACTCCAGTTTTCTTCGCAGGGGCAACAGAAAGCTATAGATGCAAAACACACTGGGATCTTTTGGTGCTTTGCTATGCAAAGACACCATTTGCATTCCAGAGCAAACCACCCTTGCAGCCGTGCCACGGTATTGCAGCCTCCCACCCAGTGACCTGCTAAAAATTCCTGTCGGAGCTTGGGAGGGCTGGACCCACCTCCAAATCAGCTGCCTAAGATACAAGTGTCTGACACAAAGATCAGGCTCCGAGTTACTGATGATAAAGCGACTACTCCACTTGCAATCACTCTTGGGTTTCACCTGGGACCCTTCTCTAACACCAGTGGAGGTGCCCAGGGCAGCGAAGGCTCGGTTCGGCCACATCCCTCGGCAGCTCCGCGGTGCCTGCTTGCAGACCAAGGGAGGAGATCGGTTGGACTGCAGCCCCTGCGCCATGCTCCATCTCTGTCACCATACTCCTTTCTAATCCCTCAAAACATCTTAAAAAAAAAAAATTTCCCCAAACCTGTATTCTGTATTTCCCCAAAAGTGGTGGTTTTTTTCCTGGATAACAAACTAAGGGACGTGCTGCTGTGACAGGCTGGGTCTTCAGATATGGGGTGCTCAGGCCATGGCTGGGGTGGGTGTACAGGCACTGCTTCCTGACTGGGTGGGTTGTCCCCACATTTCTCACCTTCCCTGCTCGGACACCGCACTGGAACAGCTTTGCTGTGCCAAAACGCTCTGCCTGGTGGCAGTCAGCAGTCAGCTCCGACCCCTATGGCGCTGCTGGTTTCAGCGGCAGGCCCCAAATTCCCTGCCACCCCCCCAGGGCACTGGCCTCCTCACTTTGGAGTTCCAGACCTTCCCCCACACTGCACCACCAGCTTTGGCCTCCTCATTCCCCATTCCCCTCGAGGGCTTCGGTCCCCTTGCCAGCCTGGCAGCACTGGCTGCCTTCACTCGCCTCCTCCTTTCTCCGCTTTCCAGACCCCCTCCTGCAACTTCCTCCCCCGGGACACCCGCAGCTCTCCCCTCCTGACCGGTGAGAGGCTCCTGGAGGCAAGTCTCTGCCAGCTCCCGGTTCTCCTTATCTACGAGGCATTCCCGGCGCTACAGAAAAGACGTGCCGACAGCCAGATCGCAGAGCTAACACGCGCTGCACGCGCTCAGCCACGAAGCCACTGCTCTCCTCCTGACCCAAGCAACTTGCAGGTGCAGGTATCATTTAAAAAAACCAACCCTGTAACTAACCAGAAAACAGAGAGTCCTGTTATTAAGGGTGCCAAGAACTGAGGTCAGCCTCTGCTCTGCCTTAGAAATCCAGGGTTGGAGAGGAGCCTCCCCCTATCCACAGTCGAGGGAGCCTCCAGCGAGTCCTGCCACAGGTCACAACGTGGGTGCGCAGGCAGCATGACAGCATTTTGGGCTTTGGCTCCGTGGTCCCCTTCTCCACCTTAACGAGAAGTTTCTATACCCCACACCGTCATCGCTCCCTTCCAGACCTTCACTTACAGCTGTAACTGCAAGTGCCGAGCAGCACCAGAAACCAGCCTGGAAACAGGCACAAAGGCCACGGAAAAAACCAAACCCAACAGCAAAACCACCATAAAAACCCCACCCAGAGGATCTTTAACCATAGAGAACATATAGGATATCTCCTATAATAAACGCCAGGCCCCTGACGGTGCTCCCGTGTTGAGCATCTCCCGGAAGGAAAACTGGACACAGGGCTAGGATATCTGAGGGGAAAGTCGACTGGTCCGCAAGAGTACACAAACTCTTCCCATTAAAGTCTATGTTTACCACATGGCAAGTCAGTGATTAGGAAAATAGCATGACACGCAACTTAAAAGAAAAAATGTTCCAGTGCTGCGTTGTATGGGAAAAATAATTAAAAAGCATCAAAGTTTTGGCTCAGAGACACAGTTTCCACTAAAACATGTGACCAATGCATCTTTTCTTGCTTTGGGGGGGAAAAAAAAAAAAAGGAGAAAAAAGAAAAAAAAACACTGAAGAAAAAATTTCTACAATGGCTATTTTCTATAGCGATAAAACTCCGCAGATCTCGGTAGACCAGAATCGGGAGACCAGCCTGACTGCAAGAGCGAAGGCAACGCGTGCATTTGATCCTAATTTACAACATCTGTAAGGATCAAGGGAAAGACGACACACAAGGCCTCGAGAAATCTCCCGGATTCTTTAGGAAAACATTTACGTTCTGGCTAAGCCGGTGTCCCGCTCCGAGCCCCGTTTCAGGTTAATAACCCTAGAAACGGGGCTCTGGCACCCGCACCGAACGCCATGCACGCCAGCTGCAGCCCCGGAGAGTAAGAAGGGGAAAACCCAGTTACGGGTCAGCCCTCCGCAGCTCAAACGCCAGCGGTGCCGGAGTTCCATGCCCCCCCCCAGCCAGTGCTTGGATCCCGTGGAGCAGCAGCATCAGGGAAAGGAAAGGGAAAGCGAAGGCTTTGCAGCTTGCCGGGCGTTCCCAGCTTCCGAGCCTCCCTCCCTCCCCGCTCCCCCAGCCCCGTCCCGGCGTTTGCTGTCAGAGGGACCGAGCCCCGCGGCAGCCCCTGGGAAGCTCGGGCGGCAGCCCGCAGCACCAGCGAGGTGCGTTTGGAGCGGGCGGGGAGCGGCGGAGAGTCATTTCTGGTAAAACTTCTTTAATGTGAGGAATGTCACGGGCTGGTACGGTTGGCAAAGTTTAAGACTGGAGGGCGGTTTTTTTTTTTTTTCCCCTCTCTCCCCTCTTTTTTTTTTTTAAAGCGATCCTATGACTTCTCGAAGCGAAGACAGCAGTTCGCTCGTACAAGCCGCACAAGAAACAATCGTATTCTGGGAAAGGAGGGGGGACACCAACTCTGAAAAAAAACCCCAA